TAAGATACGTGTGGTGAAAAACGCGTTGACAATGCACATTCAAATCGATTACTCGTTCATACAAGATGGCACAGGTGTCTTTGGTTCTCCCAAATATGAGGTTGCACCCTGTGCACCGTCATGGAAAACATCTTGGTTGACAATCACTTGCGCCGTAGGTGCGATACACTTGTTATTCATCGGCCATAGTTTGTTATAATCTGGAAGAGAAGTTAATAGGTCAATATTGCATTAGCAGTGAAAACTTGCCTTTAATATTGTATTAGATATCAACGGTTAGAACATTCTATCACCGTTCAAATCTTTATCATAGTCATGACTTTCCGTACACATATTTTGTCGACACCATAAAATAATCGAGTGCCGCAGTTTTTGTGAGGTTTCCTACGCATGCAGAAAACACTAAATACATTGAAAAACCAATGCCAACTATACAGTTCAGGTATAGATAAACGAGTATATCTACGTTTTTATTAAAAAATACTGGTTGACATGTCATTGGATTTTTGTAAACCTATGTACTGTTGATGCAATATAACTAATTTTTTATCACTAATAATAAATTAAAATGGTAAACGTGGATAGTAGAGCATCCATTGGTAGTATAAACTCCCCCGCTACACGAGGAGAAATGAAAACCTTTGTTAAACGTTTACACAATGTAAAACCTCATTTTATTACACGCCTTGTCGCAGCCAAAGTTTCGCCCTCTCACCAGCTGCAGTTGCTCAGATCAACACCAGTTTGGTATTGTAATAGTGGCGCTAGGCGCGAATGATGGATAGAGCGCGCGCAGCAACGTTCATGAACGCATATACACCGTGCACGCCGCGCGGCGCCCGTGCGGCGGTAGCGGTGTATGCGGCGGCGCGCGCACGCCGCCGGTGCGGCGAAGCGGTGGTTATGCCCGCGGTGCGCGGCGGTGCGGCGGTTGCGTCGGTGCGGCGGTGCGGGCGGTGCGCGTGGCGGCGCAGCGGTGGTATGCGGCGCGCGCGCCCTTGAGCGCGCGGTGGTATGCGGCGCGGCGCGCCTGCGCGCGCGGCGGTGCGGCGGCTGAGATCACCGCGCGCGCGTGCGCCTGGGGCGCTAGCGGAGCCGGCGCGAGCCGCGGCGGTGTGGCGGTGATACACGCCGCTCGCGAGCGCGCGCTGTAATATCGAGCACGAGTGCATGGTTTAGTGCTAGCAGAATTTGTTGCATATACCTTAGCTTAAGTCATGGAAGTTATATTAGCAGGGGGATATGGTGCGACGGTAGGACGACTAGCGCGGTGCTGAGAGAGTAAAGGCCCGTGCTCGACACACGCGGCGCGGCACGGAACGCACTGGAAACGGGCCGTCGCTTCACCCCTACCGGCAAAGCTTCAAATGTATATATCGTTATGGCGCAGTCTCCACTGACACGCATCGGCGCCTAGCGGGTTTCACGGCGACGGCAAAATTGCAATGAGTTGACTTTTGCCGGCCGAGCGTGACGGCCGAAAACGACAACTTGAACCAATCAACGCATTGGTTTTTTATCACGTGTTCTTCTGCACGGCTACCATCACGAATGGGACAACAAGCACATGCATACATTCTTATCACTGAACATGAGTGCGAACACAATGCGCGTCAGACACAATGCGCGAAATTACAAATTTTTTTTTTTCAGCACAACGGCCGCTGCGTTTTGCTTGTGTCTGTCTGTCCCGCGTGTGTGGAGACGTTGGCCTTAGCGAGAAAGAAAGGGGCGTGTCAACAGAGAGGGGCGGAGTGGTCCAAACGGGAAGAATCACGTGTGGTATGACGCAGGTAAACAGAGAAGCGATCGGTGAGCTTCGATCGAAAGGAATGTGATTTGGGAGACATTATTGTATCCGTCACGCCATCACGTGATGATGTAAAATATAAGCAATCGGAATTTCGCAGGGAAGGGAGTCGAACAAAGGGTCTAGGCGCAAGCGGTTGAACAGCGGAGTTAAGAGTGAAACAGTCGAGAGAGAGAGAGAGAGAGAGAGAGAGCGCGCGCGTGTGAGAGAGAGAGAGGGTGAGTAACAGTGGCGAGAGTAACGTGAGAGGGAGAGAGAGGGTGTGTGTAGGAGAGTTAGTTAGAAGAGCGAGCAACAGTTCGAGTTAGCTGTTAGCGGGCAGCCGAGAGTCGAGCGAGTTCATTGCGAGAGTGTAGTCGGAATAGTGGCGCCGCGCTTAATGTGTGTGTATCCAAGTATTGGTTCTCTGCCTGTGTGTCACTGTATTGGAAGATTGGTGCGTATGGGTCTCAACCCGTAATAAACAGCCGGGCTTGTCCCGTCATATTCTTACTCAACTTCTATCTTCGGCCCTCTTTCTGAATTTTACGTCTTCGGCACGCTTTTCCTTTACGAGCTGACGTCGGGTGTAGACGACGGAGGGGGATTAGGCTCTGCGATACAGAGTAGGACAACACAACGCACGCACGGGCCCTATCAAGCCCGTGTGAAGGATACGACAGAGAGAAGAAGACTGAGCGGAGGCAGACTAGTCGGGTAGCGCGCATGCTACATGGTTTGGTACCGATCACGATCACGATCACGTCGGCTTCTTCGACGGAGTCGCGCACGCTACATAGCTGGGCGCCACGACCAAGGCAAAAGGAGACATAACTGGGGAAATCACGATCACGTCGGCTTCTTCGACGGAGTCGCGCACGCTACATAGCTGGGCGCCACGACCAAGGCAAAAGGAGACATAACTGGGGAAAACGCTACAGTATGATAGATTTGACGTCACTCTGTGAAGCCACCGCCTCAGGGCTGTTAATAGCAGATTCAAGTCTTGGGAAAGTTAAAACAGCAATGAGGTTACTCGTGTAGATAGCAACAAAAACAACAACAGAAAATATCCATCACGTTGACAGGATCACTCGATAGTCTAGACAAGAAATAAAAAAACGTGCTTATTTAAGATCCATGAGGCATTTTTGAGGAAAAGCAAACAAATAGGTTTTTCTGGAGCAAATTTTCGTGCTGAATATTAAAAAATTGTTAGGTCACTAATTAAGGTCAAAGGTCAATTAGTGCAAAATTCATATTTTTTACAAAATATGTTTTCTTTCCCCTCCCAAATACAGATATAAAAACTATTTTTCAATATCTTTGATAATAAACGTTACACAATTCCTCAAAGTTTAGAAATTAAGGGAAAAGATTAAAGAAGTATTCACTTCATTTGCAAATATCTCCTTAACGGTTAGACTTTCTTTTTTGCCATATTGGTTTGGTTTCATATAGATTTTGTTACCAATTACCAGGGTTGTCTAGCCTCTCTATATCTGTGGTTCATGGGGACAGGGATATTATGTTTGTATTTCATATTTTTGTTAATTAGCCTGCTAATTAAAGTCAATGGCCAATTAGTGCAAAATACGAATTTTCATGAAATTTGTTTAGGCTCGTTTTGTCCTTCCCTATACAAATATCCAAGTTTTTTTTAAACTTTTCTTTATATAAAACAGTATATCATGCAATAAATATTTGAAAAATATGAAAGGCATTCTTGGTTCTATGGCCAATAGCTCAGTAAATGGCCGTCTCCACACACCGTTTTCCAGTGTGCCGTGTTTGTGATGTGGGGAGCAACAGCAAACCATTATACAAGCACATGTGTTTGTATTACATATATGTGTATAATTATGTGTACATGTGTACATGTGTACATTGTATTATATATATCTATGATAAAGCTCAAAGCACTCAATACAATGCACTCAAAACAATGCGCTCAAACACAATGCACTTTTTCTGCATGACGCGGTATAGTACCGTTCTAACTGATTGGAAAACTGCAGGTACCGCAGGTGGGGACAGAAACACAACACTGGAACGCTTACATGGAGCGTGTTACGTAGGCCAACTAGTATATAGTAATATAGTACTAGGGCCTAGTATTTTTGCCAGGCATGTTATGATTGGCGCACAGTGTGCTGCAGACCATTGTTTTCACATACCATGTATTATTGATGGGTAGGTTTATTTTACGCTCTTTTAAAACTATTCAAACATGTTGTTCAATATGAGTAGCCTATCTGTCCAAGTGATAAAAAGTAGTTCATTATAAAGACTCTAATCTAAACAAAGTTCCTATGATAAACCAGCTTTTTGCCCTTTCTTTTCCCAGGGGAACTATGGAACCAGTTCTACGCTTGAAACGACCGGTAGAGGTTTCTTTTGAACTGTGTATCATATGTCAGCAGACATGTCCGA